ACGGGAGAAGGTACGTCGGATCATCCGTAAAACGGCGAATGCCTTTTGGGCCGATTTCTCATGGTGTAGTGCGAAGGACAAGGTTGAGGAGACCCAGATGCCTAAATCTTTTTTGGCATCTATCCTCATGATGTTTTCTGGTCCCTTTTCACCATGCATAACAAAGGCATTCGCTGAATCCCCTCCAAACGACACATGGACGCACTTTTCATCATTCAGAGGAAGGTGCCAGTCCAACGACCACTGCTTGGCAGCGTCTACATCCGTTTGGAGGGCGCTGGCATTGGAACTCCAGGATTTCAAGTCGTCCGCAAAAAGTAAACATGGACTCGCAAGAACGTCTGGGAGGTCGTTGACGTAGATCAGAAACAGGAGTGGTCCCAAGACGGAGCCTTGAGGAACTCCAATGGAGACCGGCGCTGGAGAGGAATAGGTTGAGCCTATTCTCACTCGGAATGACCTGTCTGATAGGAACGCCTTGATCCAGCGAAGGATTTTCCCTTGAATCCCGTAAGACTCGAGTTTGTGGAGCAGCGGGACGTGTGGGACCCTATCAAATGCTTTTGAGAAGTCGAAAAATATGGCATCCGATATGAGTCCTTCGTCCTTGGCTTGGGTTAAGCTGTCCATAAAAGTTAAGCTGTCCGTGAAATCCGTGAAATCCGTCGTACCTCAGAAGTCTTCTACGGACCTAGGTCTACCAAACCTTGACATTTTGAGGGAAATGTGCACCTGAGACCATACTTTATTGCTCGGGGGCACCATTCACTAGGTTCCAGGACTCCATGGAGGGCCTAGCCTTGTATCCAATTTACATCTCTCGGAGTAAGATGAGGATATTTCACGCAAAACCAAAACGCGGGCTGTGCATGTAATCTGGTGGGAAACCTTGTTTCAACTCCTCCATCGGAATGGCGCTTGTATGTTGCTCCTCTTGCTTTCGGGTCCGGAAATCAGAGTCACGACGCAAGAAGGCTCCTAACGATGTCAATGTGCACATGTTTTTGCGTGCGATAATCACAGCCATAATATCCTGCACGTACCTTCGCTTGTTTCAGAAATGCCCTAATGGGACTGTCACAAATAAATCCTACAAGACGGACGGTGCGAATGTACTTAATCCCGGAGACACCGTTCATTAAGACGTCCGTCAACTCACTGACTGTGTCAGACATTAACTGTTAAGCATCCTTCGGTCTGTTCTCAACACAGTATATTGCAATGACGAAAGGCTGAACCGAAAAGGGGAAGATTATGCGGGGGGATTATGGGCCATTCATGGGTACGCGAGTTATTTCAGGCACGAATACCATCAACGTTCATTTTAATATCGACATTTTCCACCCTAGTATGAATCTCACGGAGCTGCCGCAGCAAATCTGCTTTCGACCCAACGCGAATATGCACCCCACGGGCATTCTGACACCTGCAGCACCGACAGGGTTTTCATTACGGTCCGTGGATCCTTCGGAGCTTAGTGCAAATTGGCAGAGGTTGTCACGAAAAGATTGTGTTGGAGTAAAAACTTCAACAGATGACGCGTGCAAACGCTTTAGATAGATTGAAAAACGAAAGTATTGTTTCACATATTTGCACGAGGATCCTGTGTATCAATCCGTGGATCCGTGAAAAACGAAACTGACTTCGAATGCACCGCGCCGACGCTGGTGCATTGGACTAGAACCTTCAAAACTGTCCAGTAATGAACGTCCATGAAGTTCATTGTTATGTGCTGGACATTGTGGAGGGAAGAATGACTTTTAGGGCACTTTTCCGCCGGATATATAGATCTTGCACGGAAGCGGAGTCATTTCTCATGTGCACAGACCACCACTGTCTTGATTTAAACCACCCCACTTTTTATATTACCCAGAAACACAATATATTTATTTGTTGTGATAGATGTGCAAAAAAAGAAAGCCTTGTCATACCTTAACTGATGTTTCCCCAGGTTCTGACCTGGATTTCCAGTCGAGCGCACTTTCCGTTTGCTGACCGCGGTTTTTGAACACTTGGGCCGTTGCTTTTTGGTTCACATACCGTTGAGATTCCGCCTTCTGCACAGATTTCGAGGGGGGAAGTTGCTACGAGGGCCTGAGCGGAGCCCAAAAACTTGTAAATCAAGTGGACAGCTGCATGGATGCAGTGGCTTGTCTGGATCATACTAAGAGACCCACTCGATTGCGATATGAGCGGGTTAGTCCCATTGCATTATGAATTTTACCTTCCAGGATACCATACTTGCGATCAAAGAACATGCTCTGGTTTCAGACCTCAACGTTGATGACACACTGTTTCGTGTAAACACAGTTGCCCAAAGAAGCGGTCGTGGGAAATCCAAGTGTACCCCATCAAAAACACAATGCGGTGGGTTGTTTGATGTTTACTTATGTCATTTCAACAGATCGACCTCGCGACACAGGGGCCATCGTTTTAGGTCCACAGAAACGCACCTGGAATACGGGCTGCCATGTTTCTTATCCTACGGGCCGTGACAACAGTGACACTGGTTTCACTCGAGCCGGAAAGGTGTCAGACTATCGCGGTAAGGAAAGGCAACTGAGCCGAAATCCGGGGGACTTCAAGCAGGACTTCCGTGGTGCGGGTCGTGATCGTGGGGGTCTCAGAAGAAACGAAGGCCAATTCTCCCGAGGCCGTTTCCATGACCGCCACGGAGGACAACGACCAGGACATTTTGCAGAAGAACCCGAATGGTTTTCTGAAGGTCCGACTACGGTCACGGAAACCATAGAGCTGGGGCGTGTGTTGGAAGATGAAGATGGCGATAGCTCAGCAATTTTTACACGAAAGCTGGCAACTCCACCTATTTCTCCTACTGATGGGGGCGATAGAGAGACCGATGATGTTTCAGGCCTCCAAAACACAAATCCCAATATGAGCCAAACGGGTACCGCTCGGTCACCTCAGTCGCAACTGCAAGACAGTCCACAATCTTCCCCTAGTGGAGAGACGCCTGGAAGCCGTTTTCGGTACTTGTTTCCCAAGCCGGACGTTAATTCTGACAAGAAAACAAGTAAAGTTACATTTTCTTCTCACACTCCTCTGAATAGGTGCGATCAACGACCAGTTGCTGGGTCTACTCAAGGGTGCGTCGGGACAGTCTGTTTCGAGCCCAGAGAAACATAATGGTATTTTGACTCAACCCGAATCTAATGTAAATTCAGTACTTCAGGTGGAGAACAAGCTGCGTTCCCTTTTATTGGGCCATAATCTCCCTAGATCAACTGGCCCCTTTCAACAAAAATTAGGACAGCGAGAAGTCTCGACTGCTGGCAATAGTTACACTGCAGGTCCAAAGCCAAAAATTTTGACGGTGGAAGAGATCGAGGCGCAGTTAAATCTATCGACCAAACCACCAGTCTCTGTACCCGTGGCGAATTTACAGCACGCGGAAATCGAAAGACCCACTGAACAGCCTTCGACGCTTATTCAAACACGAACACCCAGTGTTACCACCGTTCATTCTACATCCACATCTAACTTGGCTCCAGTTTTACATTCTCTGGCTGCACAGCAACAGCATCAAGCCGTGTGCACAAAGCAACTGCAGTTGCATACCCCCTTAGTCCCGTTCGGAATATTGTCCAATCCAATGGTTCGCTTGCCTTCCGCAGTAAGTGTTATCTGGTACCCCAGGTAGCCTTGTCGCATATTTCATAACGATACTAGTGCTTGTCCATCTGATTATCTTTCCAGACCTACAGATGGCTTCGGGCAATGGTTTGTGCTGGTTCCAGTTTGTTTTGGTTTGCTCGGTTGCAGGTTGACTATGAATTTTCGGTTTTATTGCGTAATATCACTTCCGAATCTCCAGGTTTTAGCTCCGCACCCTGTCTCCACCGACGAACACCACAGCTTTTCTGCTTGGCAACGCCCCGCTCTTTCGGGCTATCGGTTTCAGGAAATTCGATTTTATCAGCCTCTCTGAGAAGTCACACGACTAGTATTTTTTTTCTGTGCAGTAAACGGGTTTGTTTTTGCTTCTAAAAGCTGCAAAACGTGCCCATTCCATGCTATGCATAAGGTCGTTGGTCTCTACAGTTTCGTTCTTTATGCTCATCTGGTAGCCCTGGCCCTCGAATCTTCAACCGTATATCCCACATGCACACCAGAGGCATGTGTTTCAACAAACTTCTATTTGTTAATTCGACTTCGGAAGGGGATTCAATTTCTCGCGGATCTCTGTGCTCATCAGCTATATGTATACTGTACAAACACAAGCCCATATTTCGGCTGTAACGCTCTTCAAGTCATCGAATATGTTCTGCAGCACCATTAAAGCTGGGTCTTGTCACGTTGCAGCCTCAGCAGTCCGTTGAAAGAAAGAAAGCGTTCACCTGTAGCACCCTTTCGGTGCCTAGCTGCCATGCCACCGGAAGGAAGCACGAGGGCTGGGATACTACCAGGTTGCCCAAGCCTAGACAGAGGAAGTCGAGTGGTGGAGGTCGGATTCGAACCACGGACCTTCCGGTCGGTAAATTCGCGCTCTAACCACTTGGGCCATCTCGCCTCATAATGGACTAAGCCCGTGCAGTATTCGATGTATTTTACCAGTTCGGTCAGTGGTCCGATGGATAATTGGAACAAGTACGACAACCTGTTCCTTGATAGTCGGACTATTCTGGTAGTCTTACGCGGGTCACCGGTGCCTTTTTTCTACTGGGGACCTTGTCTGTGTGTGGACGCCATGGTGCTATCTGAGCACGTATGCAACCATTAATTGCACAAACGAAATCGCCCTCCCGTCTTCGGCCGTCGCTTGGGGACATCATTTGGGCCGTCCTGTTCGCTAAGTACAGCAGGGCGGATGGGTGGAAGCATGCCACTTGACTCTTTATTTTGGTTCGAGTGGTGGAGGTCGGATTCGAACCACGGACCTTCCGGTCAGTAAATTCGCGCTCTAACCACTTGGGCCATCTCTCCTCATAATGGATTAAGCCCGTGCAGTATCCGGTGTATCTTACCAGTTCGGTCAGTGGCCCGATGGATAATTGGAATAAGTACGACAACCTGTTCCTTGATAGTCGCTCTTCCGCAGATAGCTTTAAGCACGTCAGCTAGACACCAATGGAAATGACTAATCGCATGCCACCGCTTCCAGTCTTCCACTTTGAGTCCAACAATCAAATTTCATCCCGTTTTTCTACCACGTCTTCGGTATTGAAACTCTTGAGGAGGCTGCCAAAGAACTGCTCTTGTGTACATTCCCGCTACTTTGTTGGTAGACGTTACTCCGTTCTGTTGGGGATATTAATATCCCCCAGAAAACGCTGTTTTTATGTGTGCTAGCGAACTCCTGGCATCTTCAAGGTCAAACTATGAAAAATCAATGGCCTATTGATACTCCAAGAAAATTTAAATCCGACCACGTACAGGATACCATTCTTTCCACTGACTT